TGCTGCAGCTGGTGCCGAAACTGAGGTTGCTGTGGCGTCTGCTGCTGGAACAGCGGCTGCTCTTGGTGCTGCTGGAACTGGGACTGTTCTTGCTCCTGCTGCTGATTTGGCATCAAAAGAGGACATGCACAGCATCCCGAAGTAGCGGAATATACAGAAAACTCCGTGAAGCCACTAGAAGCCATTTCATATGTTGCCATGCTATTGCGTTCAGGCATTGTCGGCGACATCACTTGTGCACTGTGCTGAGAGATATCAGGATTTTGAAGAAGGCCATTCTGGAGAACACTGTTGCTACCGCTAAAGAATGGTGGCGGTGCAAGGTGATGGTTCGCAGCACCATTTGCTATTAAAGGCTCAAAGAACTGCCGATTGCCATCCAGCAAACCGTGCATCCAAGCTGTTGATTCGTCACTGCAATTAAAATATGCTCAGCCATAATGGAAGTGTAGTAGACCAAATTAAAAGCTGAATTGTTTAAAGGCATATGTATATGACTGTAGTTTTTGCTCTGTTTGAGGAAGATATAGCTTTTATCAAGGGGTGTATGCAAAAACTTTTTGCTGAATAGCTGTTTTTACATTATTAGGTATAAAAACACAATATGGAGAGACCACGCTCCCGTGTAAGCACCACGTAGTTAAGCTTCAGAATGAGGGAAGCAAAGGCCAATTTTCCAATGCATGTGAGATAGCAAAGCTAGAGCCAGCTTGCTTTTCCCTGTACTGTGATACCGGGATTTTATCCTACAAAAGCTGCAAGTAATGAGCACACAGTGATGCGACGCAAGTGGTAAGCTGTGCATGGGTTGCTGGCTAAGAAGAACGTGTCGGACCCTGTATGCATGTTTGTGTTGCGCAGATCTGGATGGGCGTGTATGTGTTTGTATGTGTGTGTGTTGATATGAGTGCGTCTGGAATCGAAAGGTAGCCGAGCGGCTCTATTGAGACGAAAAAGAGATGAAACTGATTTATCCGGACTTAAGCCTCACTTATACAGTATACAAAAACCATACCTCCACAATCACAGATACTGGGTCAGCGGATACCAAAAACCCAGACAAACAAAGGCTGGAACGCACTAGGCGAGCCGGTGCGATCATGCGTTTTTGCATCAGAACTAAAGTAAAAGTATTGCCCGAGCGTTCGTTTCCAAAATAATTGCATGAACGGTTGTTTCTTCACACCTTCCTTGTGCGCTTAATGCCGAAAATCATCGTAATTTTTGCATAAAAAAAAGTAAACTGTTTCCATTT